CCCTAGGTCACTGAATGGCATCTTTACTGCTCTCAAGAGCAAAAATAAACTTATTGACTATTCGATACCATAGGATGGTGTTATTTAAATTCTGTTGCATGATGACTGTTTGGAGTACAGTAGGGGGGCTTACTGTTGAAGAAGGTGGCTAATTTTACCATCTTTTTCTAAAGAATCACAGGAGAAGCTCAGCAGAGTAGCCAGTTGAAGTCATAACATGCAAGGCTTTTTGCTGGAAGCCACCTACTATTGACTACAACAAGGTTATTAATTTGTACCTTGATTATCTCCATAATACTGTCTAATTCACTTTCTCCATCAATGTCTTCTTCTTCCTCAGTATCTTGATATCTGTATCAATGAGTAAACATAAACTAAGAATAAGTGAAGCCTTGGAGCCGACTGGCTCATACCTGCCAGAGCTTATCCCAGTTTCTGTAGCATGAAGCAACAAGGAGTATTTCTACTCCCCCTGGATAGAATGCTAGTCCATTGCAGGTCACTCCCCCGCAATTTGTTAAGTTTCCACAACAATTCACCAGTAACCATTTATACTCCTGGGTGGAGAGAGGTCCTGTGAGAGTTAAGTGTCTTGCCCGAGAACACAACACAGTGTCCCTGGCCAGGGCTCGAACCCGGACCACTCAATCCGGGGACGAGTGCACTAAACATGAGGCCACCGTGCCTCCACAATGAGTAAACATGTATCACAATTAACACTGACAGCAACAACAATGAATAGCAACATTGCTTACAATGTAAGTTTAACCTCAGTGCTAGGGTGCAGAGTGACCATATTTAACTCATTAAATAAGTAACAGGCTTGAAATAAATAACCACATCCAACACAGAGAAGGAATAACAGAGAATTTCTGGTATGTCAGGACAGTATTTATGGCACCATCTTACTTGTATTTAACCCACAAATTAGATTCTGAGCCAAAAAAATCTATTACCGTAGAATTCCCAAAGGAATGGCCTCCATTACTTTCAGATTTATCAGGCAAAAAAAGGGCCGCTACTTTCGGGTAGTCGTTTACTTACTGGTAGCTGTTACCTTCAGATGGTTAAAAAAGTTTGCACAGTAACAGTTGTTTCAGACAAAGCAGATGCGTAACAAAGGAAATTAAACTTTCTGTTTATGTATGTTTCCAACTGCCAACATACACAAAGCAGACTGTATAAACAAAGCAGACTGTATAAAAAAAAAAAGCTCTAAACCGATTGATATTGTAGGGCGAATTGAAAGTATAATGGTTGCATTATATCGCAATGCAACTGACCACCCTACAGTGTATCATTTGACTCTGCTGCTAGACAGATACAGACAAATGCAGTTCATAAATCATAGTTTCCGTCAAGATCAAAGTAAAATCACAGATAGCTCTTCAAGTCAATGTTCAGTCCTGCAGTCAGGCTGTTCCATCTGCATGAACTGCGGTTGAGAACAGAGACTTTCTCTTCTAGTGACTTCTTCAGAGGGCTGCTACTTTCGGGTGGGCTGCTACTTTCAGGGGAACCGTTACTTTCGGGGTTCAATAGCAAGGGAAAAAATTGACGTTACTGTTTTTAAGCCCATCTAAAAGCCCTTACGAGGTTGTATCCATAAGCTAAGCGCTTATAAGTGACAGTTTACGGTATATTAACAAATTGTAAGTAAACAATACTTCTGTTTGACAGCTGATAAAAAAAAAAAACCAAAGGAGTATCCTTAAAAAGATCACAGCTGAACAGATTTGATTTTAATACAAAACAAAGTAGAATCCTTAAAAAAATTACAGCTGTACAGAAGAGTGTAATGATTCTCACCTTGAGTCAAAATCCATATCTGAGGAACAAGGGTGCTGTTTTGATCCACAAAAGTACATGAGAAAGTTGTTTGTACTGCCACCTTCAGCATCTGAAAACAAACAACAAAGTTAAACAACATGAAAATAAATAAAAGCTTTGCTTTCAATGGTCACACACTAGACAAAGTTTGTTTTGACTCATTCAGTGAAAATAAGAACTGAAAGAAGTTCAATCAAATCTATCATAAATGTTTAACAGTGCAACTATCCCAAACCGGGCCACTTGGAAAAGAGTTAACCAATCAGAATGATACTTAAGAACAAAGGATAGCTAAAAAGTAATAATAAATAAACCAATTCAATATTAAAGAATACAAACAATAGTACTAAAACAAAATTGAAAACCCAACAAAAGAGTGGAGTGTTGTGGACCTCTAAGGAAACTTTGCTACTTACTGGTTGGTTAGTTTTGATTCTAAATTTTGTGCACTTTTCAGTGGTTTTGATTTAGTTATCGCAAAACCAGTTTTCAAGCTAATTTTTTCGGGTGAAATGTTTGATAATGATAATTTGCCATCAAGGACTCAATCTACAGAGTGTATAAAACACAGAAGAGTTGATAATATTCATGTTTTCTTGTCAATCAAACCCTCAATTGCATTCATGAAAAAGATACCACTTTATAGATCTCAGTTTATGTTCTGATTGGTTAATTTTCTTCTGGGTGGCCCAGTTCAAGTAGTTGCATGGTAACATATTCCACAAGTTGTATACATTTGATTGCAGAATGCCCAAAATATTCTTAAAGCTCCCTTGACGCAATTTCTGTCTTTTCTAACTGGGTGTATCATAAAATTTTACTGGCAATGTGCATAAAAATATACGCACGGTCAGCTCTCCATGGTCTTAGTTACAAGGATCCTAAGTTATAAGTAAATAATAATAACTTAAACAGAGTGCCAAGCTTATACAGAAGTAAAGAATGCACTAAATGGTAACATTTTAACATCAAAAGAGAGAACAAATAATAACATAGTGACAGACATATCAAATAAACGTAAGCACTCTTTACACCGATTGATGAAGAATTCAATCAGAAGAAACAAGAAGTAATTGCTACATTTGCTTCAAGAACGAAGAACAGATAATGCTCATATTCTATGAAATGAAAAATAAAGGGAAATCTTAGTATCATTATAAATTTAAACTGTGATTTCCTGGTGTTCATTACGGTGTAGATTGGCAATTCACCACACAAAAAATGGAAATGTAAAGTAATTGCAAGAAACGCTAAAGTCACGAGATTGTATTTATTTTATTCAATTGTAAAGTCACGGGATGGCATATTTACAAGAAAACAAACCAGAGAAACGCTTTCCGGTCTGACTTGTGCCTTGTTTACGTGTCAGTCATGGCATCGAATCGTAAGGAGGGCATTGTGTTGGGTTACACGAAACCAACAACACCGTGAGTTACACTTCTTCGTGACTAAATTTACGCTTAAAAATTTACCTTGTTTCCAGTCGAATATGTCCCGTAAAAAGTCAAAGAAAACCTGAAGAAAGCACATACATTTTTAAATTAAACACTGTACCTCTGGGAAAACAGTGTTCATTAACAGAAAAGTCAGTCATCGGAAGCATATTCAGTTGAAAACTCTTGACATTTTAATTAAATGGAAGTTGCAAGTTTTACCTGATCATAATCTTGCCGATGTGAATCGTTTCTGTAATCTGAATAAACGAAAAGAGACCGTGATATCACACAAAATCACACAACAATGCTGCTAATAACGAGAACTAACCCTCCGAAAATTGTTACCCCTGCCGTCACCGTACAGGCCGGGTACATGGAAAGCCTGCATTAGAAGAACCATATATTGTTGTAAGAACGCCTCTAGATTATCCATATTTAACTTTAATGGATAAATGTGTACACACAAAAGTCCGTTATTACCTAGAGTGAGAAATTCGAAGGCTTTGCTAACTTCATCGAACTGCTTTCTTGCCGAGAAGTCATTCTGGTTCTGAAAAGCGAAAGCCAGCAAGGTCATCATTTATTGGCGAACAAATGGTACAAACTAGAAACTATATAATAATCCTGGGTTGCAAATATCAAACAGAAGATATAAAAGTGACTTTAAAACACCAAAAAAAGCTGCTAGAGCAACAAAATGATAGCACTGCCATAATTAAGTTTACAATATTACACTGCGTACATACCTTGTCGGGATGAAATTGAAGCGCAAGTCTCTTATATGCCCGTTTGATTTCGAACTCATCTGCAAAATAAAGGGAGATTCTCGATAAGCCACCTGACTCTAACAAATACTGACTTAGAGAAGTCTTTTTCAAGAGTATGTTTGGAGAAACCGGTGCGTTCAATTTTCCTAGAAACCCATTCTCCATCGCCCACTTTGAGTCGGAAGTTCCTGCTTGGTGAACCCCTTATGATGTACGTACTGTTGTACCAAAAGCGTATGATATATTCAACAGCTACCTTTATCATTTGAGTATTTATCTACTCCTAGTATCTTAAGGTACTCCTTCTCCTCTTCTTTTGGCATTCTGTTCGTTGTTCTTCAGGTATCCATAAAACCCCAAACCAAATTTCAAAGATTTCTAAACTCGATCAGTTCAAACGCTTTATCCAACATGGCGATCCCTTCCGATGACGTCACGCGACTAAACCTATCCCAGCATTCATTCGAATTCCGAGCGACACACTCTTGCACATCTAGTAAAATTTCTTGAGATTTTCTTTCAGTTAAAAAAAAAAAGAAGAAGAAGAAGAAAAAAAGAATTACCGGCCGTTCAAATAGTCTATGAAACCATGAATACAACTAGTTGCAATCACACAGCATACTTTTTGAAAATAACTGCAGTTTATTAACGGAAGATAGTGGTTTCCAACAGAGGTACAGCTTTCCGCTTGCAAGTAGAATGAGGTCCACTACAGCTAATCAATGCTATCATGACATTTTTACTGTATTTCTGTTCACTGAGACTTTTTTTGTACGCGAGCGCGCGCGTTTCCCTGATGCAAACCAGAATGAATTTCAATGGCTGAATTTTACGCGCGCGATTTTCTTCCGTTGTTATGTCACAAATGAAAGAGATTTCAGTGGCAAAACGAATTCGTTCGCTTCAGACGCGTTTTGGTGAAGAGAGAAATTTCCTTGCTAAATCATTCGAAATGGGAACTGCTTGGAGTTATTATAAAGAAAAGAGAAAAGAGAAAAAGGAACTGAAAAGGTGTGTTGATTTTTCGTTTGTTTAAATCTGTCATTTTGCCGGGTTTTTATTCGGAAAAAAAACCTAATGTTTTCTTGGCACTATAAAACTAAAACTAACCCAAACTGTTAGATAATTTTGCAAAGCTGTTCTTATGTACGTGTGCGAACGCTATGGAGCAACAAAATTTAAACAATGAATACTCTTTCAGTGTTTTGATCGGTGATAGACGTTCTCTAAAGTTTTTTTTTTTTAATTAATGGTCTCTTAGTTTCTTTTCTTTTGAGCCCTTTAAATTAGTTTGTATTAAGTTTTTGACAACAAGGTGAATTTTAGTTTTACCTAGAAATAACTTCTGTTGCTCAATATTGAAGGAAAACTCTACTCTTAAAACAAATCTTGTTAATAGTGGAAAATAACTTCGAAAATATATGAGAAAACCATTTGAGAGTCTAACAAAATTGGATCATGGCAAGCTAATAGTCTATAAGTTTGGGTTTTAAAATTCCGGCGGGCAGCAATGTTGAATCTTTTTATGATGTCACAAGAAGAAACAAAAGAAAAAACGTTATTAATAAGTCGTTTTTCATCTCTTTCAGGAAGCATGGGTTTCGTAGTTCCATGTCTGCGTCCGAGAGGGCGAAGTTAACAGAGATGAAAGCTCAAATGGAGCAACAAATCCAATCTCTGGAGGAGCAGATTTACCTTGAGGAAATAAAACTGCTTGCTAGGAATAACAAACCCCAGCAGCCTTTCAAGGCTTCAAGGTAGGAGAGTCATTCATGATTAATGCAATTTCCTCAGGCCGTATGCTGTAGTTTTTATGACTGATGGAAAGAAAAGTATCAAAGTCATTAGCATCTCAGACATGTCAGATCTGAGGCAGGGGCTGAAGCAAAATGGAAGATTTGCTGGGTTTTTTCTTTCTTTTTTCAAATTAAATTATTTACCTCTACGTACCACTGCGTAGACGTCTTACTGGTATTGATTTTTCTTTTTCGATCCAATTAACTTCTTCTTATCTGTCTTTCCAGCTCTCCTGCAATCGACGACTCGACAGAAAAGCAACACGGGGCACCAAACTTCCAATTCAACGACTCTGAAAGCGAGAGACTGGTGCTTCAAGCCTGTCAGTTCGCGCGGTTCAAAAGGGAACACCCACTGGAAAAATGGACAGTAGGCTCACTGCCTAACCTAACTGGCCTGTGCAACCTGAGTCGATGACTGTAATGTCTGCGTAGAGCGTTGAAATGAGATTGTGTACATATTTATCCGAAGATCCGAAGCGGAGTTGGTCAAATGAGTTTGTAAATAATGCTGCCTCCAAACTGGAGAGAATGATGACAACGGAAGTTTATTCAATGTGTCCGGTCTTGTTGTAAATAAAAAATAAATTGTTATTAAACCGACCTCTGTGAGAATCATATGGACTGAAGCTCTCTTATTCCTAGAGGCACTTCGGATTTTTCCTCGCGCAGGGCTCAGTCTTGCTCATTCTCGGATTCACGTCTCATTTGAGTCACATGTCATTTGAGTCCCAGCGTTGGTGACTCTGTTGGTGAATCGGTGGGAATCGTATGAACTGAAGCTCTCTTATTCCTGGAGGCTCTTCGGATTTTTCCTCGCGCCGGGCTCAATCTAGCTCATTTTCGGATCCACGTCTCATTTGAGTCCCAGCGTTGGCGACTCTGCCTCGCTATGAAGGCCCCATTAGAGAGTGGGGGGGTCTGGGAATGATGCTTGGCCTAAATATCCCATGGACATTTCATTTATTCCAGTTTCAAATTTAAGGATTTTCCTACTCGATGTTTAACAATTATTCCATGAGAGCGCGTTGGATATAAGATGGTAGATAGTCAACGAGGCGCGTATCGCTAACTTGACCATAGTCAGCTCATATCCAACAAGCGCGAATGGAATAATTGTTTTACTAAACTAGACCAAAATAAAAATAAAAACCCCCAAAATTCACGCGTTTGCTTACCATATTTGTGGAGCATGGTATAATGACTCATAACCAATGATGGCTAAGCCAATGAAAACTCTCGAATTGCATTATCCAATGGTCCAGTTTTTAATAATCCGATTTTTTCCGAGGCAAATATCTCATTAATTTTTCCCCCAAATGTCTTCTCTCCAGTTAATTTTTTACCCAAGTCCCATATCCCGAAAACCCTAAAATGGCCTCACTATCGGCTAAACAACAACAACAACAACAACAACAACAACA